TCAAAACGTTCCATGTTCTTTTAACACAAGTTTACAAAGTGCATTTCTGGTTGATTTTCGCTTTTTGCTCTAAAACCCTATTAAAACAATACATTTTTGCATCCCAAGCAGGGAATTTTTATTATTAAAATTTGGTAATAATTAAAATTTTTGTTAATAAAATAATTGCGCACTCTTACACGAACATGAAAAAAGTAGCACATACGTGCTTAATTATTAAATCTTAGTGTGGATCTTGAATCGTTTTTTTACACCAAAAGTGTATTTAATTTATAATTTTCCTTATTATCTTTTGTTGCCCTCAGTTTTTCGTTTTCAATGTCCTTGTTATTTGTTATTTAAATTGGTCAATAAATATATACAGTCTGGGTTTTGAGGAAATTAAATTAACAAAAAACTCTGTTCTTTGTTGAAATTTTTTATCACTTCTGTTATGTTCTTTTGACAATCCATGTTTCGTGGATATTATTTAATTTTTATGTAAGTTTTCGGTAATTTTGTGTTTGTGTTTTGCAAATTTCGGTGTTCTTGGCCATAAAGGCACAATATTGCTCAAACATCTTTCAGTTGGACTTAAATTTACGTTTTTCTTGGATTTGTTACTATCTGATATGTATTCTAAGTGAGAAATTGTCTGTCAAACCGGTTTTTGCTTTTTAAATTTTAGACAAATGGGCACATATCCAAACTACGTGAAAATCTGAATTAATAAATAATAAAGAAATTGCGATAAAAGAAAAGTTGATGAAAATAATACAATGAAAGTCAGGAGAATAAATGTATTAAGTAATACATATGTAAAAAACTTGGAAAACTACTCAGTTGTTAGGTGTTTGTTGTTTCTCACATTTCTTTCTCTTCTTTCAATTTACTTCACTTCTACTTTTCTTCAAAGTTTGTGAGAGACTACTTAATGCTTTAATTCTTCGTATCTCTATTTTGTTTTCCCGTTACCAATTCATTTATTATTTATTGTTTACATAGGCATATAAATATTTATTTTTTTGCATGCTATTTTATATAGTGTTACATCTCATTCATTAATCAAATAAAATATATTACATTTTTATCAATAAATTTTCTCAATTGTGAACTTTCTAGCGCTTGAATCGGGCTGTAAACGTATTGATTTCTTAATTTTTCCAAAATGTTAATCAAGTAAAGACAGCTTGTTTGGCTTTTACTGTTTCTCTCACACTATACATGTTTTGCTTAGTATTACTTCTTATTTTTCACATTAATTTTCTTCTAAATATTTTGTAGTAGTGTACAGTTTTGTGGTCAAAGTGTATTCTGTTATTGTTGCATTCTGCACATTTTAATGTTTTTAATATATTGACTCTTAAGTGCTTCAAATCGACTGGAGCCTCAATTTGGATTCGTTGGTGCTACTGATTAATATTTTCTTTGTTGTGAATTGGTTAAATATTGTACAAAAATATTATCAAATATTATGTAATTAGCAATCGATTACAAAGAAGGAAAGCAATTGAAATAAAACGATAATTTAATCGGAGAAAGGGATAATTTCAGCTTAATTCGATGCTATTTATTAAGTTACGACATCGTAAACTATATCTTCCGTTAAAGCTTTTAGTCAATCGACTATGCCATTCGGGATATTATTTCTGCATGTTTAAGATATGTACTTAGGCTTTCTTCGGCCATAAAGAATACACATTGGCTTATATGGCGCGTACAATAAATTTATAGTAGTGCAAAGTAAACTTCTCTTATGGAATCAATTACAACTACTTTCCTGGTGTTGAGTGGGTTTTAACTGTAAGGGTTTACTAGCAACACTCGTGTGCGTCTTATAATGTTCTAAGCCTTGCTTGACCGATGCTTCTTCATTTCAAGAATTACTTTTGTTTTTTCAAATTCGACTTTTGCTGTTCAGACTTTCAAGCTAACGACAACATTATCGATTTGCGAGTACAAATTACTTTCTTCTTTAGCGATTGAAAAGGTTCTTTAGAGAAATTAGGTTCTTTTGCGCTGCTTTATGATCATGATCATATACATTAATAAATATTAAATTGCCTATACCAAATAGGTCCTAATGAAGCTGATGGCTAGCCAGATCCCATCAGTTGAGTCTCATCAACTTATTTAGACCCTGCCAAGAGTTAACTATTTAAACTCAACAACTGAAATTTCGTATGGAAAATTTGCTCAATCTTCCTCAAAACTTCCCCTGGCTCTACTTTCAGCTGCTTTTATTGAGCAATTTCAGGCCCACTGCAATTGTTCAAAACGTGCCATTAACTAAGCAACCGACAGTTTCTGGTCGTAAGCCGATCAGTCATTAAATATGCATAAATGTAAGTCGATGTCGTAAATAATGCAGACAATGAATTATGTCACCATAAGCGACATCGTGCGAAGTCTTCAGCGTTATAATGCTGGTTGAAGTGGGCCAGAAATGGTAAAAATTGCCCTACAGAAGAGAAGCGGTTTTGCGTCAAACACTAATCTGCCAAGAAAAATCTTTGTCATTGTGTCCACATAACGGAACCATTAACCCATTACGTGAACCAGATCGAGTAATTACAGTAGCAGATATCTCAAATGCTTGGCTACACATCAACTATTTGAAATTTCCAATTATACATTCGCAAAAGCCCATCTGCAGAGCAAATTTTACCTACTGGTCTTAATATAATGAGAACAAATCATACACTGGGATTTAATTGATGTGGAAAATTTGCAAGTTTGGAATTTCAGTTGCTGTAATGGACTTAATAAATTGATCACATCCAATGGCGTGAATGTGATGTACAATGTACGATTCGTTTTACAACTGTACATACATCGATCTAACGGCAAGACCTCTATACGTGCCACTACAATAAGAACCAATTATCACATTTTTAGGTTGATAATTTACAGAAGCAGTTTAACCTAGTTGGTCAACTACGGTATTTGTTCCAGTAGAATCGGTTGCGAATTGC